ATTATTTCACTGATTTCTGATCTCATTTTCAGCTTTCTGGGCTCACCCCGTTTTGTCGTTTCTTTTTTTACCTCCCAACTTCCTCTTTTTACAGTTTGTTTTCTAAAACTGAAAGTATAATTTACATACTGTGGTTCACTCGTCTGGTGTGCACAATTCTGACTTGACAAAGGTGTCCAGTTGTGGAACCACCAGCACAGCTGAGCTGCAAAACACTCCATCTCCTGGCCGGGTGCGGTGGCTCACGCCTGTAGTCCCAGCACTTTAGGGAGGCCAAGGCAGGTGGATCACCTGAAGTCAGGAGTTCGAGACCAGCCTGGCCAACATGGTGAAACACCGTCTCTACTAAAAATACAAAAATTAGCTGGGCGTGGTAACACATAATCCCAGCTGCTCGGGAGGCTGAGGCAAGAGAATCACTTGAACCCAGGAGGTGGAGGTTGCGGTGAGCTGAGATTGCGCCACTGCACTCCAGCCTGGGTAACAGAGTGAGACTCTGTCTCAAAAAAAAAAAAAAAATTCTATCTCCTATAAGATTCTCTCGTGCCTCTTCACGGGCAACCCTGCCCCCTAACTTTCTGAGATGGAGACAGCTTACAAACCTCAAGCTTTCTTCTTTTCACGGTATCTGCAGCAATCTTCCTGGAAGCCCTGCTTCTGCGGCCCCACAGGCTTGGGGGTGCAATGTTTTCATAATCATCCCGTTCCGTTTTTTGGGTTTTTTTCTGAGATGAAGTCTTGTTGCCCAGGCTGGAGTGCAGTGGTGTGATCTCGGCTTCTTGCAACCTCCGACTCCTGGGTTCAAGCGATTCTCATGTCTCAGCCTCCTGAGTAGCTGGGATTACAGGTGTGCACCGCCACATCCAGCTAATTTTTTGTATTTTTAGTAGAGATGAGGTTTCACCATGTTTCCCAGGCTGGTCTCAAACTCCTGACCTCAAGTGGTCCTCCCACCTCGGCTTCCTAAAGTTCTGGGAATATAGGGGTGAGCCACCACACCTGGCCCAGCTCTGGGTTTTTAAGATTTCTATTGTGATCTCTCTTTAGCTTATGTTGTTTAGCGGTGCATGCACGTGCGTGTGTTACGAGTCTTCTCTATAAAGAATTTCCCCAACATTGCAGATATTTTCAAACCCATCGCAACATGAAAAGAATCACACAGTGTAACCCCCTCGCCACCTGAATTCTACAGTTAATTTACTGCACCTGCTCCTTCACACATCTCTGCATCTACCATCCATCCCTCTATCCACCAGTCCGTGGCAATCATTATCTTTTAAATATTCATGCCTGTAATCCCAGCACTTTGGAAGGCCATGGTGGGCAGATCACAAAAACTCCTCCATCCACCCCTCTTCCCACCATCCTCCACCCAACCTTCCCCCAATCTCATCCATCTATCCCTCTGTCCACCCCTCCATTTCTCTATCCACCCACCCACTCCTCTATCCACTCCCCTCCATCCACCCCTCCAGGCATCCATCCATCCACCCATCCTTCCCCCCATCTCATCCATCTATCCCTCTGTCCACCTCTCCATTTCTCTATCCACCCATCCACTCCTCTATGCACTCCCCTCCACCCTGGCATGTTACAGGGACTTGTCACTTTGGTTAGGCTGGGCCACCACAGGGCCTGATGGTCCAACCAGGGGAAGGGAAACTGAGGCATGAGGCAGCTACCTGGGTTTGGGGAGGGCTGGGTTTAGCCTGGTTCTCTGAAATAGATACCCTAAGCTGTGAAGCCTTCCTCTTGAAGGGTTGAGGTGGGCAGTGCACAGGAGCCAAGCGGCCCAGGCCCTTCCAGGGTGTCACTCCCTTCCCCCTTTCGTTACAAGGAGCCCTCCTGCCTGGGAGCTTGCTCTTTGGAGGGCCCCACTGGCTTGGTGACAGGGCTCTCACATGGGGGAGGCGAGCCCTGTCACCCTTGCACGTTCCCCTGGATTTGTTGCTATTTTGCACCCCTAACACTTGCCAATAAAGACTGTCTACACTGAAAATAAAATGCCCTCCAGGCATCCATCCATCTCTATCTATCCTTGTATCCACCCATCCATCCTCCATCCACCTATCCGTCTATCTGCCCTTCCACTCCCCTATCCACCCCTCCACCCACCCATCTATCTCTATCCATTCATTCCCGGATCCACCCACCCACTCCTCTATGCACATCTCCATCCATCCATTTACCTACCCACCCATCCCTCTATTCACTCTTCCTCTCCTCTGTCCACCCCTCCATCCATCCATTTACCCACCCACCCATCCCTCTATTCACTCTTCCTCTCCTCTGTCCACCCCGTCCAGCCGTCCTTCCATCCATCCACCCACACACCCCTCTCTCCACCCCTCCATCCATCCATCTCCATCCATTTGTCCATCCTTCTGTCCACACACTCACCTCTCTACCCATCCGCCTCTTCCCCCTTCCTTTTCCCTACAAGCCCCATGTCCTGGGGGGCTGACTCCAAGTGGGGGTGCTGCTTCCAGGCTCCATGCCTTAGTGAATCGGAGACCAGCAGAGAAAGGCCTGATAGCTCGACCTCAGGGCTGCCATGGATCGCTGGTGCCGCCCGCCACCACATCCATCCACCACAGGCTGAGGACAGGAATGTCATTCTCTCCATGGGCATAGGGCTCCTCCCAGGAGCCAGGCAGGGGCCAGGCCTTTCTTTGGACTGTGCAGAGGGTGCACCCCCAGGCCTGGTGAGTGACCCTTTTCCACACGGGTTCAGAGAGGGCTCTCAGAGGAAGGCGCGAAAGCCAGCCTTGCAGGATGCTGGAGGGAGAGCCTGGGGAGGCTGCACCCCCGGCAGCTGGAACCAGGGGGCAGTGAGGGCAGGCCCTGGACATCCTTTTGTCGAAGTGGACATGCTGGGTTTGCATCCATCTGAGTCACTCTGTGATAAAAGTCGTTCAGGCTGTCCAGAGGTCTGCGACAGTGTTTTCCGTTATCAAGTGATGTGTCTCACGACACCCCACCTGCCAGCCCCAGGGCCGGGCTGGACTGGAGAGTGGGGACCCTCTGTCCTCTAATCACTTTCTAAGCCGCCACAGCCTGGGGCAGCCGTACATTGTGGTCTCTGGGGGTCCTGGTGTTCTGGCCTGAGGCCCAAGGTCTGTGCTGTCACACCGCCCCTCCTCTGGCAAGCAGGGCCCACGGAGAGGGTCAGGAGGCAGCTGGGTGCTCCCCTGGGACACAGGCCTGCCCGCTGCCTTCACTTCCCACAGCTGACCAAGCCCACCACGCTCTGGGCCTCACCCTTCCATACCCTGGACCCCAAGGAGCCCTCATGAACACCGACAGGAAGAGCGGGAGGGGCCGGCATCGAGGCAGTCTAAGAGCCCTGCCCCATGGCCCTTCCCTCCAGCTACTTCGGACAGCCTGAAATCAGCGACGGAAGTCCCAGCCCCTGGGGGCGACCTCATGTCCTTCCTGTGCGATGCTGGAACGCCAGGCACTGCCACAGCTCGGGAGGGGGTCCCACCAGCCCTGCTCCTCCCTCCATGGAGCTGGCCCTGGGAGGGTAGGCAGCTGGAAGTGCCCCCTGCACTGGAGGCAGCAGTCCCTCAGACTCTGCCTGCAGCCCAGCCTCGGGTGGGAAACAGCACACCCTGCATGGGGCAGGGGCCCACTCAGTTCCCCAGGCAGTGACCGATGACCCAAGCTCAGCCACTCATTGGAAATTTTCTTGATTCAGAGAAATGCCCGCCACCCTCAGCCGGAAAATCTCTCGGTCCCCTGGTCACTGACTGAAGTACCCCCAACCACAGCCACACAACAGAGAGTGATGTGGGGGAGTCCTGGGCTTCCAGGGGCTGGTCATGGCTCCCTGACTCAGTTTCCCTTATGGGGAGAAAGCACCAGAGACCTGTGACCTCCCTGCTCTCCCTGGGCCTGGCTCCCAACGGGTTTATGCAGTGAGGTGCAGACCCTCAGTAAGTGTGTCCTGGGCCTCCCCGCTTAATCCCTCCCATGTCACCTCCCGTTTCCGGTTACTGCCAAGCTCCAGGGCCTGAGGCAGGAGGACAACCCATCCAGCCAGCCAGGCCATGCTGGCAGGAACTGCTGGTGGGGGAGTCTGGGCATGCTCAGTGGTGCCCCCAAGAGCTAAAAGGGACTCTGGGGAATGGCCAGGCCCTGGTGGGGGAGGTACACTCCCACTGCCCAGCTCCAAACCCCATGGCCAGGCCCTGACCTGCAAGGCCCCAGCCTGATCAGCTCCTCCTCTAATCAGTTTCTCTTCCCCTCCAGAGAGACCCAGCTTCCCACAGCCTGTTTCTCTGGGGGACAAGGGGAGGACCTGCAGCCTGAGGATTCTCGCCAAGATTCCTGCCTCCCATTTTTTTTTTCCTGAGACAGTCTCCATCTGTCTTCCAGGCTGGAGTACAATGGCCTGATCTCCGCTCGCTGCTTCCTCTGCCTCCCTGGCTCAAGAGTGACTCTCCTGCCTCAGCCTCCCCAATAGATAGAAGTACAGGGACCCGCCATCATGCCCGGCTAATTTTCGTATTTTTGTAGAGATGGGGCTTCACTATGTTGGCCAGGCCGGTCTTGAACTCCTGACCTCAGGTGATCTGCCCACTTTGGCCTCCCAAAGTGCTGGGATTACAGGCGTGAGCCACTGCGCCGGGCCCATCTCCCATTTTCTTGGAAGAAACTGAGGCACAAGGAGCCTGAGAAAGTTACTTGAGGTCACAGAGCACATCAGAGGCAGGGAGCAGGGTGAGAGTGAGAAGGCAAGGGACCAGAAACTTCTTCCACCTGCTCTGTGTCCCCCGAGAGAGCAGCCTCCCTGTCCCCCCCGAGAGAGCAGCCTCCCTGTCCCCCCGAGAGAGCAGCCTCCCTGTCCCCCCAAGAGAGCAGCCTCCCTGTCCCCCCGAGAGAGCAGCCTCCCTGTCCCCCCAAGAGAGCAGCCTCCCTGTCCCCCTCTTGCCACAGTCTCCCCAGGATAAGGCGAGGGTGTCAGGGGCCTGGGTCCCCACTTGTGACCCCACCAGGCTGCTCCTGGGAAGGGCTGTGCAGGCCAGGAGACTGGCAGACCTCAACCAGTCCCGGAGCTGCCCTGCCGCCTGGTGGCTGCTGAGCGCCCGCCCGCCCGCCTGGCCCGCGCTCCAGGGCCTCCGCCCTCCAGCTCCCCCGCCTGCGCCCGGGAACGCGCGGAGAGCAGCAGCGCTCAAGACCGCGGCCGGGAGGTGCTGTTCGCCGCAACCTCGGCTCCAGCGCTCGGGCCGCTTCTCTCCCGGGTGCAGGCGGCTCTGCGCCGGGACCCTCTGCACGCCGTCCCCCGACGAGGCTCCCTCGGCCACAGTCCCCTCCCCTCCATCAGACGCGCTGCAGGTCCGGAGCCTCGGTTTCCCGAGCAGGGAAATGGGCGTGCTGTGCCCACGGGGGAAGGGAGGAGCAGGAGGCCCGCCTTCGGGGCCTGGAGGATTCGCGCGGCCTCCGCCGTCCAAGAGAACCCCTCTCCCCTCGCGATCCCCGGGATTCTCTTCCCCAGTCGGTCCCCCAAGCCGGGTCTAGAACTGGAGCCTCAGCTCCCCGCCCATCGGTGCAGCGTTCCCGGTCCCCTCCCCCTAGACCCGGAACCACCGGGTCCCTCCGCGCCTCTCCAACCCTCGCCGGAGCTTTCCTGCCCGCCCCGTCCCCTTCAACCTCCGCCCCCCGCCGGACGCCTCCCTGGCCCTTCCCGCCCGGCGGGGCAGCCTCGCGGCGGCGCCACCCGCGCCCACCCTCTTCCGCCGCGGGCTGCAGCGCGCCCGGGCCTGTCTGGGCGGCTGGCGGGGCGGCGGGGCGGGCCTGGGGCGGGCGGGGAGGCTGCGTCTGCGCGGCCCGTAGGGGCCTCCGCCGAGGCTGGAGCGAGCCCAGGCAGGCCGGGCGCTGGCGCGGGGCGAGCCGGCGGGGGCGGGAGAGCTGGCCCCGCGCTGGGGTTCCTGGGTCCCTGCACGCACGCGCGCTTCCCAGGCGCATCGCCCTCGGCCTCCCCTCTGCCTCTTATTTGCAAAATCACCCCGAGGTGGGTGACGCTATTGTTGCCACTTTTCAGATGCGAAAGTCCAGACACAACTGAAATTAGTATCCAGGCTCCAGATGCCACCCGTCCTCACGCAGAGGTTTGCACAGAAACAAGCGCCATTCCTGACCTTGGGGACGTCGCCGAGCCCGTCTGCAGGCAGGGCAGGGAGATGCTGAGAATTCGGGTGCACGTGCCCCCACCAGGTGCCCCAGGGCTCCCCTCCCCATGGAGCCTTCCCTCGGCCCCCTCCCCGGAGAAGTGGCAGGCTCTCTGGAAGGAGGTCGAGAGGGGGCCGGCTCCCGCCAGGGCCTCTCTTCCGGGAATGGAGAGGTGGGCGGAGGAGAGGGGTTCCTGGGCCACCAACCCCGTCCCAGGCCCTGGGTGCCGCTCCCCACCCCTCGGGAATCGAGCTCTCTTCGCCAAACCACCCGCTTGGGGCGGAGGGCTGGGGGCGGGGGCGAAGCCGAGCGCGCTGACACACGCGTCTGGAATTCCCAGGAGAGCCGGCCGCGGCCCGTGACCCCTTCCGCTCTGGGCCAGCCTCAACCAGCGGGGCCGAGAGGAGGACAGGCTCCCCCCAGGGAGGTGGGGCACACACTCACCTCGTTCCTCCTGCTGGAGCCGGCCCTGTCCTTGTGCCTGCATCTCAACAGAGGTACCCTCTGTGCTTGGGACCCAGGCAGATGTGACCTCCCCTCACCCCACAACCACCAGACACAGCCCAAGGCAGACCCTGCCCAGCTCCTTCCCCAGGGCTCTGTGCCTCAGTTTCCCCATCTCCGCAAAGGGCGCTAATGGCCATCTCAGAATGGTTCGTTGAGATTCAAAGAATCTGGGCCAGTGCCTTGTAAACGTTGTTATAATTGCATGGAAGGTAAACTGAAAGCCAGAGACTCCCACACCATAGAGCCACCCGATCCCCGCTCCGCCCCCCCACCCCCGCCCACCGCTCCTCACACAGTGTCCTCCATCATCACGCCCTGGGTTTCGGAGGTGCAGACGGTACAGACGGTGCCCAGCGAGGAGCTTGGGGAAGCTCACACATTCACACTGGTGTGAAGGGGCGTGCGTGTCACGTCCCGCAGTGTGCTGTGTGCCCCTCCACGTGCAAAGGTATGTGCCTGTGCATGAGTGCTGGTGTGAACACGTGTGTGCCCGGTGCCCATGCAGGGTGCAGCGTGTCTGTGTGCTGGCATCGGTGTGTGCTGGCGCATACTCTGGCCAATCCACTCCTGGGGTGTGGTGTTGTGTAAACAGTGGAGGTCTCAGATGCCAGCCCTGGGGGGACACTGGGCCCCCTCCCCCAGGTTTGGCTGGCCCAGCTTGTCGCCTCCCTGATCAGCCCTTGCCAAGGAGTGCTTTGCCATCTGGGGGCTAGAGGGAGTGTGGCAGGCTCAGCGCCCTGCAAGGGCAGGCCTGTGCCCTGAAAGCAGATGGTCCCCGGCTCACCCTTCAGGCCAAGAAGTCCCCCAGCTCAGGTGACAGCAGAGCCCGAGAAGGGGGGCCAGCCACATCAGCCATCCCCAGGGAGCCCCCAACCCCCCGACGGCGCTGGGCACTCAGGATGGGGCACTCTGCAGGAGCCCTAAGAACTGATAGTCCAGGGAGGTGGGGTCCTGTGTGCAGACACACTGCGGGGGCAGGGGACTCTTGCTGCAGAACGAGGAATCCCAGGGTGCATGGAGCTCCCTGCCCAGGTTGCTGGCGAGCCCCTGGGGTGAGTAGGCCCGGCTGCTCCTCCCTGATCAGGCTTAAGCCTGCTTCTCAGACCCCCCCCCCAACCCACTGCCCTCACAGCAGGGTAGCAGATGGAGCAGGGGGCCACAAACTGACGGACTAGGACCTGTCCTTTCACTCTGTGCCCAGAGACCAGGCAGATGGCTTCCCACCCGGACCCAGAGCCCAAAGGGGTCCCATGGGCTGGCCCACCCCACCACACCACATACGGCCACCCGTATGGCCTCCACCCTGCTAGGCTTCCGAAGGCTGGGTTGCCCCTCTCCTGGTTGGGGGGCTGGGGTGGGTGAGCCAGGGCCCCCACCCACCCCTAGCCTTGTCCCTTCTGCCTCGGGTTCCTCAGCACCTGCCGTCACAGCCTGACAAGGAGCCTATGCTGTGGGAGGCAAGCTGGTGGCCAGGATGGAGGCTCCTCATTCATTCATTCACATCTCCAGCAAACAATCCCCGTGGCTGCCCAGTGCCAGACCTGGCCTGATGCCTGGATGTGTGCAACTGGAATGATCAGGGTCAAGTAGTGTGGGCCTCGGAGGGTCACGGAGAGGGCCGTGAGGGTCCTGGAGAGGGCAGGGTGGCCTCTGTAAGCACCCAGGGTGCAGGTCTGAAGAGCGATGGGCTCAGCTGGCCACAGCTGTCACCAACACACGGACATCTTAGGACCGGCCTCCGTTTCCCCCAGCCTGGCTGCCCACAGTCCCCACGCCAGCAGTGGGCAGTGTGTGATCACCTGCCCTAGGCCTGCTTCCCCTGCCGCCATCCTCCAGGGGACAGCAGGGCCTTCAACTGCCACAGGATCCCTCCCAAGGTCCTGCCGTGCAGCCTCCTGGTGGGACCAGTGTCCTCCCCAGGCCCTTCATGCATGGACCAGTCCCCAGGGACATTACTCCGAGCCAGCAGCCTGAGGTCCTCCCAGGCTCCTCCTCTCCTCAACCTTCCCCTTCTCATCCTATCACCCAAGGGCAGAGAAAGGCACTGTTGCACCACCAGGGGGCGCCCTGCCTCAGGTGTGGGCTTAGGATGCAGCGGTGCTGCTTATCTGGGAGGCCAGGGGCTGGGGACAGAAGAGGCTAACTCACCCCTGGCTGGCACCTTGTGGGCTTCAGGACAGCTCGATCAGGTGGTCACTGTGAGTCCACTCCCCAGATAAGGAAACAGGCCAGAGAGGGGGATGCCACCAGCCCTGGCTCTTGGGAGTGTGAGGTCTGGGTCTCCAAGATCTCGCCAAGCCCACCAACATGCTGGGTGGCTTTGGGGAAGTCATCTGCCCTCTCTGAGCCTCCATTTCCCCACCTGTAGAGTGGGGGTGGGAAGGCATCATTGCTGGGGCTGAGCAGGAGACTACAAAACAGAGCTTAGGTCCCTGTCTCCAGCAGGCACCTGGCTGGTCTCCAGCCCACGGGAGCAGGAACCATGCCCCCCAGCACAGGCACCTAAAGGCTGCTGTCTCCACCAGCAGGTGACCCTGCGCCCGTGGTGGGGTCCACAGGGCTAACTCAGCCCTGCTCCAGCCAGCTGGGGACAAACCCTTCTGGGGAGGGCTTGGGCTGTGGCCGGGACAGGGAAGCTGCCTTTCTACTTTCTGCTGTGTGTGTGTGTGTGTGTGTGTGTGTGTGTGTGTGTGCGCGCGCACATCTGTGTGCCAGGGCCTGGGCCTGGTGTGACCCCAGCAGGGACGCCCCAGCTGTCAGGCTCTCCTGTGGCCCCTGCTGTCCCCAGATGGAGGCAGAGACCCCCAGCTCAGAGAGCCCCGGGATTCGGGCATGCTCACTACTTTGAGCCACAGAGACCCAGGCCCCAACCTTCTCAGGACCCCAGGGCCTCCTAGACCATCAGGGCAGAATCCCCACCTCCTGGCAAGGTGGAACCCTGTTTGGCAGCTGAGGCCCTGGTGCTGGAGGCCATCAAGAGAGGTCAGAAGGGGCAAAGACCACGGCTCAGCTGGGAGGAGGGTGCTGCCTGCTCTGTTCAGGCCGTGGGCCGGGTGCCAGCAGCACCACGTTCCCACGCTCTGTGGTGCCAATCTTGGCACCCCAGCCCTGCCCCACCCTTGCCTTGCGGGGACCAGGGCACCCGGAATGTGGCTGTGGATTCCGTCCCCTGGGGCCACGGATTCCTGTCTCAGTGGGCGAGGGCAGAGGACGGCTTTCCACCCTTTGATCCTTGCCAGCTCAGTGAGCCAGACCCCGCCCAGGCCCCGCCAGCCAGGCCACAGAAGAGGCCAGGAGGCAGGCCCAGGCGAGACAGGGCTGACTCCCCCAGCACAGGAACCCTAGCTCCCAGGGCCTGGGCCTGCTCCCCAGGTGCCCCAGAAGCTCCTGCTTCACCTCTTGCCAGCTGGGTCCAGGACCTGGTGCCCAGGCTAACCGGTCAGAGAAGACCAGCACTGGGCAGTGACCCAGTCCCCACCTTCAGCATGAGATGGCCACAGCAGCCTCTTCCCTCGCCTCCCCAGTTTGCCCCAGGGCACAGAGTCCCAGCTCCTCTCTGCAGTCTCAACTCACCTGCTTGCCCTCCTGCCCTAGCATCCCCCATTCCGCAGCCACAACTGCCCCACTCGGAGACTCCTCCAAGGTGCCTGGTACTGCTCAGGACATCAGCCTGCTCAGCATCAGGACAGACCCCAGAATGTCCTGGGCTTCTGACCACAAAGGAGCCAACACAGGCTGCATGCTGGCCCGAAGCTCAGAACCCTCAACCCTAATGCGCTTGCCTCGTGCTTCCCCAGCCACTGGAGCCGCTGACAGCTGCACACCTCCGTGGGTCCCCAACCTGTATTCAAGCACCACTGAGCACTCCAACCAGTGGACGAGGGGACCAGGGCTCGCACAGGAAACAGGGTCACCCTCTGAGTCTGGGGGAGAGGAGGGGAGTCTCAAAATCCCACGTGGGAGGGGCCCAGGGCCAGGTGTCCAGAGAAAGGAGGGGCTGACAGAGGGGTCTCACCCAGGCTCCTGAGGGGCAGGAGGATGGCCTCACTCTGCCAGCCGTCCTGATCTGCTAAGTGGAAATTACAGTCATTAGCGGCCCCTCCCAGAGGCCCGTGCTGCCCAATAGGCTTGGGACTTGCCCCATCCCCTCTGCCACAAGTGGCCCAGGGAGAAGGCGCTAAAGGTGGGCGCGGGCTGCAGGGTGAGGTAAAGCCACATAGTCACCTGGCCTGCGGGGAGCCCTGGAGGGTAGGATCCCTGGGACCCAGCCCTGCGCTCCTGCCCACTTGACATGGCGGGCACCCTCCTTCCTGGTGGGTCCTTACTCCCAGCCCCCGCCTCGCCATGAAATTGCCAGGGTTTGGGGGGGTCCCTTTCCAACGGGGCGCCTTCTTATGCAGACCTAGGAGAGGGGAGTGGCCAGGCTGGGTCCTCAAGGTGCCCAGACTGGGGGGCGTGTAGATGAGGAGGCACGTGCACACTGGGGCGGCCGCGCTCCCTGGAGGAGGGGGCCCGGGAGCTCCCTGGATCCAAGAGTGGATTCCTGAGCAAAGCCTCCGCGGGTGGAGAAAGCGAGTATGGCGGGGGCCACGGGGGTCCGAGTCCTGGCACGCGGCTGCGCACCCCCCGCTCCCCTGCGCCGCGGGCGGGGCTGGGGCCGGAAACGCGCGGCGGCGGCGGATTCCTGCGCGGTGGGACAAGCCCGCGCCTGCGCGCCGCCCGGACAGGGCACGTCGCCCGCTTGGGGGGGTGGCAGGCCTGGGAGGAGGGACCCTGACCCCCCCTCACCGCCTGCCGGGGCGGGCCGCGAGGCTGGACGGGGGCGGCGCGGGGCGGGGGGCGGCAGAAGGCGCCTTTGTGTGCCGCGTCCCCGAGCGTGTCGCGGCGGGCCCGGCACCGGCCGCGCTCCAGCGCCCGCCCCCGGCCCGGCGCATACCTGGCGAGGCCGCGAGGGGGTTCTGCGGGCCGAGCCCCGCCTGGGCTGCGCCGCCGCAGGCGGGAGAGGCTGAGGACCCTTTCGGGAAGCCCCTCCGACGGCTGTAAGCCCAGGGCCGTGCCCCCCTCCTGACCACCGCAGGCATGGACCCCCTCAGCACGCTGCGGGTGGGACCGGCAGGGACCCTGGAGGGTGGCTTGGCTGGCCTGTAATTGGGAGCGAAGTCCCGGGGTTTGGTCCCCTGAGGGGTTGGTTGGACGTCCCGGAGCAGGTGGCTGCCACCGCGGTGGCCACAGCGAGTGGCCGATCGGGGTCCCTGCTGAGCCCGGGAGAGCTGTCGCGGAGGGTCCAGTCTAAGCGAGGGGAGCGAGGGGCGAGGGCAGAGCCGCAGAAGTGTGGGCCTGCGCGGTTTGAGAGGCCCCGAGGTTCCCGGCAGGGCGGGGACGGCTGGGGCGGGGCCAGAGCAGAAGCCACGTGGAGAGGGCCTGGGAGAGTGCGCGGGGAGCCTTGCGTCAGAGCCTGCCTCCAGCCCTCCCTCCAACCCCCACCCCATTCATTCCTGTAACAAATCCCTCCCGGAGCTGGCACAGCAGTGCGCAGGGACACACGAGATGCTCACCCTCTGCCGTCCAGGAGCTTGGACTCAGCCAGGACTCCGAAGGGGTCAGCAGGAGCAGGGCCGAGGGCCCTGGTGGGAAGGTCGTGTCCCACTAGGGAAGCCTGGGCCCCTGGGATCAGATGGAGGGCTGGCTGGGCTGCGAGGTGTCTCCTCTCAGCCTGGAGCAAGGCCACCACTCCCAGCGCCTGACCTCCTGACTCCCGAAAGCTCAGCTCAACCTACATGTGCCGACCCTCTGTTCCCCCAGGCCCAGGTTGGACACTTGGTCAGAACCGTGCTCCCAGAGGGAGCCAGTAACAGAAGGAGCCAGGGTGAGAGCATGAGGGTGGGGGAGGGGCAGAGAGGAGGGAGGGGCAGGAGTGTCTGGAGTGGGTCTGGACCAGAACAGGAAGGGCATTTCAGGCAGAGGGGACAAAGAAGCCAAGGTGCACCGGGGAGAAATGCCTACTGTGTTCCCCCGCAGGGGAGGTGCAAAGCTCAGGACGGAAGATGAGGCTAGAGGAAGGCCTGGGCTGGAGCATGGCCAGGAGGGCAGTGGGGAGCCACGGAGATGTTGGAGCGGGGGAGTGAGAGGGCCAGATTTGAGTTTTGGAGGGATCACATCTTAAGCCGTTAAACAGATTTCTAGGATTTTCGGTTCCTCCATTTATTTATTTACTTTGAGACAGAATCTCGCTCTGTCACCCAGGGTGGAGCACAGTGGTGCCATCTCTGCTCACTGCAATCACTTGAGGCTAAGTGATTCTCATGCCTTATCCTCCTGAGTAGCTAGGATTACAAGTGAGCACCACCACATCCAGCTATTTTTTTTTATTTTTAATAGAGACGGGGTTTTGCCATGTTGGCCAGGGTGGTCTTGAACTCCTGGCCTCGTGATCCACACACCTTGCCCTCCTGAAGTGCTGGGATTACAGGCGTGAGCCACTGCACCCAGCGGATTTTGGATTCTTCTTCTTCTTCTTTTTTTTTTTTTTTTTAGACAGAGTTTCACTCTTGTTGCCCAGGCTGGAGTGCAATGGTGTGATCTCGGCTCTCTGCAACCACCACTTCCCGGGTTCAAGCAGTTCTCCTGCCTCAGTCTCCCGAGTAGCTGAGATTACAGGCATGCACCACCATGCCCGGCTAATTTTATATTTTTAATAGAGACGGGGTTTCTCCATTTTGGTCAGGCTGGTCTTGAACTGCCAACCTCAGGTGATCCACCCATCTCAGCCTCCCAAAACGCTGGGATTATAGGCGTGAGCCATTGTGCCCAGCTTCGTTTGCGATGGAGTCATGTGCTACCACACCCAGATAATTTTATATTTTTAGGTAGAGATGGGGTTTCACCATGTTGTCTAGGCTGGTCTTGAACTCCTGACCTCATGAGATCCACCCGCCTTGGCTTCCCAAAGTGCTGGGATTACAGGCGTGAGCCACCACACCCGGCCCTGGATTTCAGAGTCTTCATAGGTAATATCAAGCGCCCTCCAGTTTGGCCAGCTTCATGCTCCATTATTGGGCTCACCGTAGACCTTCTAATCTTGGTTGTGTTGGCTGGTGTTTCTTTTTTAATGGTGTTTTGTTTTGGAACCTGAATTTCTTTAAAAAGGAGCGAGCATGTGCCTGCTCCCAGATGCCTGGTTGCCAGCTGCACTTCCACATGAGCAGTATCCCCTGAGCTCCAGGAAAGATCCTACTAGTTGGTCTGCATGCCATGCCAGCTCCACCTTGCACTCTGGGGGCCCGAGTACTAGGTCCCACCAACAGCAAGAGGTGTGATGGACATCGGAGGCCAAACCCTAAGGCCTCCATGTGCCCCCTCTGCCTTTCCTGTCCGCAGCTGCGGTCCACACCAAGGGCGGCCTACAGAGGATCTTGGGCCCTCAGACCTCCACCTGCTGCAGAGCTGCCGCCAGTCAAGCCCTTGTTTCCAGCTTTCCGTGCCCTAAATAAACTTCTGTCAGGATTGAGCCGTCAGCATTCTATGGTGGGTGTCGCTGCTGTGAGGCTGCCCTCGTGCACGCACGCTCCTCTCAGGGGAAGGCGATCTGCCGTGACATCCCCGTTAGAGAAGTTTCCCGCCTGCGTGCCCTCGCACTTCTCATGCAGGTGGCTCCTCCATCTGCTCCTGTGTGGTTTCTTCTTTTGGTTCCTTCATTATCTCTCTTTTGGTGCTGTTTCCCAGGGAATTAACTGCTAGAAGTTTGGTCAGTCCTCAGCTCTCCTCTTCACCCTTTTCTGTAGATTCAAACAGACACTGAACTGTTCACCTGGCATTGGGGCAGAAGGAAGGGCAGGCTCGGCCCCTGGCCCTGGTCTACAGCAGCTGCGTGGCCTTAGGGCAGCTCCTTCCACATTTTCTGGCCTCATCTGCACAGAAAGGCACCTCCCTCACAGCAGGACCTGCCTTGGACGCTGTCCTTGAGGAATGGGGGAGGATGTAATTCTTCTTCCTCCAGGACGGCCCTGGCTCACTCCGAGTGCTGCTTCACTGCTCAGGCTGGGTGTTGCAGCTGAATTTCCACCTCTCGCTGGGCCTGGCAGTGCTTTCTGACAAGCAGTCTGACATTCAGGGCACGCTTCTTGGCCAGATCGACCCCACACCCTTGAGAAGCTCCAGCATGAGTCTGACAAACCTCACTGAGGTTCATACATCCCTGCAAGGTGGGGGTCAGGCAACTCCGGGGGTGGCACAAGGGTAAAAGGGTGTGCTCCTGGGGTGCATGGGCCACACACAGGGAGCCCCTGATGGCCATTCCAGAGCCACATTGTGCCTCGGGCTCCTCACCCAATATTTAGCTCCAGGAAGGCCTGCTCAGAGATTGCCCCCCGCCCCAGCCGCCCCCCGGACAGAGGGTGGGACAAACTTCCATGGGTTGGAAAGGACCTCCTGGAGGCTGCTGCTTGTAAGGTGGAAGGCTCTGTGCCTTCAAGGAGCCAGCCAGGTTCCTGTGCAGGACGTACTCTGGGCAGACGAGGAGGGGAACCACACCCAGAGGCTGGGGGCAGTGGCTCCACCAGAGGATCAGCGGCTCGGGGCCTGGTGACACTGCAGAGGGTTCCCCTGCGCCTCTGGGCCTCATCGTGCTGTTTCACAGGGCACTGCCCACCTCGGGCATGGTGAGCCGATGGTCAGAGCTATGCAGGCCTTGGCAATCCGGCTTGCTGGGTGTGGGCAGGGAGCTCAGGCTGGGGCTGTGGGGGTGTACTGCTGTGGGGTTGGTGTGTCCCGTGGGAGGCGAAGGGGCTGGATCCTCCTAAAGGAATCTGCCTGTGTGCACAGCTTCTCCATGTCACGGGCAGGGACCCAGACACAGCCCGATCTGCTGCCAATGCCAAAGCCCCTTCCCTAGCCTCAGTCTCCCCATCCAGGGAGTACTGGGCATTCTTCCCTGGCCAAGTCGTGGAGGAGGTTGGAGGCTAGAGGCTGAGTTCTGCTCCCGTTCCAGTCGCCACGGGGCCATGGGGGCTTCAGCCACGGGGCCCTGGGGGCATGGGGGCATTCAGGGAAGCAGAGGCCTTTCTGGGGAGGGAGCCGGTACTGGTGCCCATGGTGAACCTGCCAGCACAGTCTCTGCCTGTTCAGCCTCCCCTGGGCCAGCTCTGGGCTTTGCCAGGCCTCCTTGGAGCCTGCACCAGCCACGCCCACCAGGCACAGGCCAGCACCCACAGAGGCTGGCAGGTCTGTGAGCTCAGGATTAGGGCCCCACAGAGGCAGACCCAGGGGTCCCAGAGGTCATAGACTCTCAGCCCATGCAGCCTGGTCCTGGCCCACCAGGCCACCTGTGTGGCCACCATCCACATCCCTGTGGCCAAGCCCAGGGCCCACCTGGCTCCCGTCCCATGGGCACCCCAGGGAGGTCTTCCTCTCTTCTCTGCCCACAACTCTTCACCCTCTCCCTAAGCCCCCTTCCCTCACCTGGGATCTGATCTTTCCTCTTGGACACCTCATGATGCCCACAGCACGGTCTCCATCTCTGTGCTGCAGACCCCGTGCTCTGTCCCCAGCCCTGACTCTCCTCCAAAGTGCAATGCAGGTCTCCAGTGGCCTCCGGACCTCCATCTCTCAGAGGCACCCCTCCCCTGGCAGTCCAGGCTCTGGGGCTGCCCCTTTCCCTCCCTCCCTGATCAATTCCACCTCCTAAGCATCTGTCCATTCTGAGCGCTGCTGGCCCCTCTTCCAGTGCTGACCTCACCTCTCCTGTCCCCTTCCAGGGTTCCCACCTCACCTCGACTCCATCCTGGCTGCCAAGAGAGCATCTCACACATCTGACATGCCCCTCCTCTGCTCTAAAGCACACCATAACTCCCCAGTGCCTGGAAAATCAAACCCAAAATCCTGTTGTGGCCACAACCTCAATGGAGCCCACACTCCACCACGCCATGCCTGGCTCCTTACTGGTCCCGCACCCCTGTTCTGCCCCCTCAATAGAGCCCACACTCCACCACGCCATGCCTGGCTCCTTACTGGTCCCGCACCCCCGTTCTGCCCCCTCAATAGAGCCCACACTCCACCACGCCATGCCTGGCTCTTTACTGGTCCCCCACCCCCGTTCTGCCCCCAGGCAGGCTGAAATTCAGGTGTCCCTGCTTCTTCAAACCATGTCCGGCCACTGCCCCCCTTCTGAGTCCGGCCACTGCCCCCCTTCTGAGTCCTGCCACTGCCCCCCTTCTGAGTCCGGCCACTGCCCCCCTTCTGAGTCCGGCCACTGCCCCCCTTCTGAGTCCTGCCACTGCCCCCCTTCTGAGTCCGGCCACTGCCCCCCTTCTGAGTGAACGGCCACTGCCCCCCTTCTGAGTCCTGCCACTGCCCCCCTTCTGAGTGTCCGGCCACTGCCCCCCTTCTGAGTGTCCTGCCACTGCCCCCCTTCTGAGTGTCCTGCCACTGCCCCCCTTCTGAGTGTCCTGCCACTGCCCCCCTTCTGAGTGAACAGCCACTGCCCCCCTTCTGAGTGTCCTGCCACTGCCCCCCTTCTGAGTCCTGCCACTGCCCCCCTTCTGAGTGTCCTGCCACTGCCCCCCTTCTGAGTGTCCTGCCACTGCCCCCCTTCTGAGTGTCCTGCCACTGCCCCCCTTCTGAGTGTCCTGCCACTGCCCCCCTTCTGAGTGTCCTGCCACTGCCCCCCTTCTGAGTCCTGCCACTGCGCCCCTTCTGAGTGTCCTGCCACTGCCCCCCTTCTGAGTGTCCTGCCACTGCCCCCCTTCTGAGTCCTGCCACTGCCCCCCTTCTGAGTGTCCTGCCACTGCCCCCCTTCTGAGTGTCCTGCCACTGCCCCCCTTCTGAGTGTCCTGCCACTGCCCCCCTTCTGAGTCCTGCCACTGCCCCCCTTCTGAGTGTCCTGCCACTGCCCCCCTTCTGAGTGTCCTGCCACTGCCCCCCTTCTGAGTGGCCAGCCACTGCCCCCCTTCTGAGTGTCCTGCCACTGCCCCCCTTCTGAGTGTCCTGCCACTGCCCCCCTTCTGAGTGTCCTGCCACTGCCCCCCTTCTGAGTGGCCAGCCACTGCCCCCCTTCTGAGTGGCCAGCCACTGCCCCCCTTAGTGTCCTGCCACTGCCCCCCTTCTGAGTGTCCTGCCACTGCCCCCCTTCTGAGTGTCCTGCCACTGCCCCCCTTCTGAGTGTCCTGCCACTGCCCCCCTTCTGAGTGTCCTGCCACTGCCCCCCTTCTGAGTGTCCTGCCACTGCCCCCCTTCTGAGTCCGGCCACTGCCTCCCTTCTGAGTCCCATACAGCTCCACCCTGACCCTCGTGCCCCTGACCTGGCCTGTGTCTGAATCAGCTGAGAAGCCCTTGCCTCTCTGGCCTTCCCTGGCCCTGCCATCCTCAGCCCCGGGCCTGGGTCAGATACTGTGTCTTCCCAAACCACAGCAAGAAGAGCCCCTCAGCAAGGGCCTGCATAATGAGATACTCAGCCCATAACTGGGAGGCAGCATCCCAGAGCGGGGAGTGACTGACTTGGTGTCACACCCAAGGCCCAGGGGGCTAAACAGAAGGGAGACGCCCTGGGCCTGTCCCCTCCAAGCCCTCCTGGAAGCTCAAGCTGCTCTCCAGGCTCAGGGAGGAGCTGACTCCATGCTCTGCAGGTCCAACCCCTGTCCCCCTGCCTCCCAACTCTCTGTCTCTGTCTCTGTCTCTGTCTCTCTCTCTCTCTCTCTCACACACACACACACACACGCACACACACACACATCCCACTACCTGAAGCAGCTTGGCTGAGCCAGGCGTTGGGCGGGCAGGCTCCAGCACGCCCCGGCATCCGGGCCCCGTGGCTGGGAAGAGCCCAGGCAGGCCTGGTCAGCATCTCAGGACCTCAGGCCCGGGAGGTCTGAGCAGAGAGCACCAGCACGGCCCACTGACCCAAGACCGAGCCGAGCTGTAGGGCTGAGGAGCCAGGGCGTCCTGTCCCTGAGTCACATAGCTCAGCAGGGGAGGGGCTGCCACAGGAAAGCCAGGTCCCAGCACTGTTTATGGGGAGGGCGGAGGGGCCCATGTGGCGCTGGGGACCAGGGCAGTTCAATGTAGCACTGGCCAGCTGGGGTGCAAGGCAGGCCCAGAGGGGCCACGACACCTGCCGCAGCCCAGAGCCTCCTCCGGGTCTCCAAAGCCGCAGGAATGTGGGCGCTGGAACCTGGTGAGTGCTGCCAGAGTGGGCCCAGTGCAGCAGCGGCCCTCCCACCTCCAGACGGGCTGAACGGCAGCCTCTAGCCCAGTGTTCCAACATGGCCTGGAATGAGATTTCAGGTTGCTTGGGTTTTTTTCCTCACAAAAAATAGGTGGATTTCAAGATTAATTCTTAAATATTTTATAATTTTGGCTCTTTTGGAAACTAATGTCTTCCCTGTGTTTTTACTGGCTTTAAAGAATGCCATTGACGGTGGGACACAGTGGCCCACACCTGTAATCCCAGCACTTTGGGAGGCCAAGAGGGGCAGATCACTTGAGGTCTGGAGTTCCAGACCAGCCTGACCAACATGGAGAAACCCCGTCTCTACTGAAGATACGAAGATTAGCCAGGCGTGGTGGCGTGCACCTGCAGTCCCCGCTACTCAGGAGGCTGAGGCAGAATTGCTTGAACCCAGGAGGCGGAGGTTACAGGGAGCCGAGATCGCGCCAGCGCGCTCCAGCCTGGGTGACAGAGCGAGACTCCGTCCAAAGATCAAAGACACGCCATTGACTTCTTGGCGTCGGGCCCCTTGCTGAGCCCCCATTGTACCAACGTTAGCTGTCCGTTATTTCGGGAATTCAACATTAAGTGTTATCGGGAAGGACACGGAACTATGACGTTGCCTCCCTGGATCCAGCTCCTCGGGCTGATTTCTTTTTCCTGCCCTGCTGCATTGGCCAGGACCTCCAGGAGAATATGGAAGCTCCTAACCTGGAGGGAGGTCACGGGCAGGCTCCTGTTACGCCCGCCGTGG